TCAACCACACTCTGTCTGTAGAATTTATTTTAATCAACTTTTAGAAAAGACAAACACATCATTTTTCAACACAATCTCCTTGCTTTTCAATACACTTGGTCTATCTGCTAACAAACTATCATATTCCCGTATTAAAAAAAATATTTTAGGCTGAGCTGTGAGCCACAAATGCACCGCTGTCTTCACTTCTTCATCAGGAGCAGCTGGTGACCTTGAACCACTGACCAATATCAATCTTCATCCTTGAAGGGCTGCTTTCAGGGGTCCAAACAGGTCAAAATCCAATGGAGCAAGATCAGTACGATAGGGAGCATACTTAACACCTCAAAACGAAGTTTTTGCAGAGTGTCAACAGTGTGGGCAGAGGTGTGTGGGTGTGCATTGTTATGCAAGATCACAATGCCCTTGGATAGCAGTCCTCCTCACTTAATCCAAAGTTTAGGCTTCAACTTTTCAGTGAACATCTCACTGTAATGAGCATTGTTGATTGTTGAACCTTTTTCCTGATTGTATTCCCATATTGACCCTTGAGAATCCTGGAAAATTGTAAACATCAATTTTCCAGCTGATGGTTGACTTTTGAACTTTTTCTTGGTCAGTGATAGAGGATGTTACCATACTATACTCTACTGTTTATCATTGTTGTTGTTGTTGTTGTGAAGTGTCGAGTTGATTCCTATGCATAGTGACCCTGTATAGAGTTTCCAAGGAGCAGCTGGTGACCTTGAACCACCGACCTTGCAATTCAAATGACTTCACAGTCTGACACATTAGCCCACAACTGTTTATTATTAGGAAACCGATAAAGAAAAAGTTCAAATGTCAAACTAACTGCTGGGAAACTGATACTTGAGTTTATGCTATTCTCAAGGTCCAGGACTGGAACACTATCAGAAAAAAAATTCAATGATCAACAGTGCTTGTTACAGTGAGATGCTTGCTGAAGAGTTGAAGTCTACACTTTGGATTAAATGCAGAGGACTGCTATCTAAGGGCATTGAGATCTTGCACAACTGTGCACATCTAAGTACCTCTGCTTCCACTGTTGACACTGCAAAAACTGTTTTTATGTGTTAAATCATCCTCTCTATAGTCCTGATCTTGCTCCATTGAACTTTCGCCTGTTTGCTTCCCTGAAAGCAGCCCTTCAGGGACCAAGATTCACCTCTGAGGAAGAAGTGAAGGCAGTGGTGCATTTGTGGCTCACAGCTCAGCCTAAAACAATTTTTAATAAGGGAATGTGAAAGCTTGTTGGCAGATGGACACAATGTATTGAAAAGCAAGGAGATTGTCAAAATACGATGTATTTGTCTTTTCTAAAAGTTGCTTAAAGTGAATTGTATAGCCAGAGTGTGGATGATTTTTGACTCACCCTCATAATTCTTAGACAAAAGTTCTAATGTTCATGCAGTTGCAATTCCAGAAGAGAAGAGAGAGATTAATTGGGCAGAAGTGATATTTGAGGAAACAGTGGCCAACAATTTTTCAAAACAGATAAAATCCAATTGACACAGATTTAAGAAGCTCTGTGAATTCCTAGCATGTTAAATTAAATTCCTAGCTCTGAATTCCTAGCCTGTTAAATTAAAAAAATATTGCCCAACACACTTCATAATAATACTGCTGAAAAACAAAATCATAACAATATCAAAAGCAACTAGAGATGCCTCCATGAACAATTGCTTCTTTTACCATAATACCGAAAGAATAGGATGGTGTCTGGCTACAATTACTGAACATTTAGAT